TAGCGTTAGTTTGAATAACTGGGAGAAAATATGTGCAATGCCTGCTGCCATCCCCTCGGTTCTTCTCGTAGCTTAGCCTAGCCTAGTTGACACACATACACAAAAAATGCCACATGGGAAAATAATTTTTATGACAATTAACAGTTAGATTCTTTTGGGGAAAGTTCTTGATACATAGGACTCACTCACTGTAGGTCAAAACTACCTGACAGGAATTCTAGCCACTGAGAAGCTGGGACACCACTTCCCTTAGCTAAGGGAGCTAGGGAGGTCCTGGCCTTAGTTTTCCTTGGTCAGAAGTTAGGATGTCTCTGCAGGTTCCTGGGGTTTGTGGACATGGTGTGGTATGAGGAGGACCTCAAGTTTAACTAGCACTCTGGGGATCCCCTGCTCTGGCTGTTGGGACCACCCAAGCCAGAGCTACAGCAGCAGGTGATGGGAAGAGCCCTCAGTGACCGGTAGGCTTCAGCAGGTGATTACCAGGCAGAAGCTGGGAACTGACAGGGTAATTATTAGCTTCTAATTGCAGGGCAAACCCAGGCCAGGATCCTCCTCTCCAAAGCAGAGGGCATTACTATTTGCATAGCAATTAATTACTTTGGGAGCTACAGAATTTAATTACCCACTAGTCCGCAGGAGCCAATAATTAAATTATTCTCAGAAACAGGGTATTTATTTCCCAGTTAGCCTGAGCAGGTAGCTCCTACCTTGGGGAGTGTGCCGGGGTGGTGACTCCTGGACTGATGGTGGTCCTTGGCCTGAGCAGGCATGGAGTGGCAACCTCGGTGCCCAGCAGGGAGTGCCCACTCTGTGGTGCAGATGGCACCTGAACACACACGGACTCAGGCCCTCGTGGAACAAGCAGACACACAGTGCCAGGAGCTGGCCCTGAACCATGGGCTGGTGCTCAGACATGCATTTTATGTGGGGTGCACATGGTGAGGAAAAAGGCAAGACGACAAAATAGGGTATTTGGGCTCCATCAGTTTGCCACCATTGTTTTGCCTAACATGTCAAAATGTACAAATGTATTTTTAGTACCATGTGCTTTGGTCTGCAGGCTGTGATTG